AATCCCGATGGCAAACACGGTAGGGGGGGGGGTGTACTCATAGTCGTGCATGCCGTAGTCATTAGACCATTGACCTCGCATCCCTACAAAGCCGGGACGGAGCACGCCGGGTTCTCACCGGACCAGGCTCTCACATCACCAAGCGCGAAGCGCCGTGAGATATTCGGCGAGTCGCNGGGGGGGGGGGGGGGGGTATCACAAAGCCAGGTTGTCCCTCACTTTCGTCTTCTTCAATTGAATGGCAGAGAGGCGGAGGGGTATGTGAGGTTGTGTTTCGCAGGTTCAATATTTGATATGGCACCGGAGGCGGCATCAAGCAGAACAAGTACAATACCTCACAACAGCGACAACTAGAGCGTCAATACGATAGACTACAGTAGATGAGTGCACAATACACAAGAGAAATGCATGCACACATGCAGACAATACATACCTGGCAGACGACAAAAATGCACATGCATGTTTTGTACATACTGTTCTTGTGAATATGCAAACAAGCAAGCATGTAATTACCAATGGACGGATTTCCTGCGGGCTGAGGGCTCACGAGATTGCAGCATTGGCGATCCTGCCTCTCTCGTGGCTCCAGGTGTATATACATGGCACACACATCCATTCATCCATGCATCGATTTACAGGTACATCCAGGTCCATATGCAAATACATACCTGAGCGCAAGTTCCAGCCCCTTCTTCCAAGAGAGCCTTGTGGATCAGGATAGTCTCCGCCGCATTGCACGCCGAAGGGTAGTTCACCTTCACAACCACAACAAAATACAAACAGGGGGGGGGCATACCCTATGTGAGAAGGTTTACAGCAATGTCGTTTGACAAGAAGGCTGTGGGGCTGGCAGAAAAAAGGTGAAATTGTGCGGAGATTTCAAGGGCTCCTAGTGCACTCTGACGTCGTGATCATCGCGCGTGTTGAGCACTTTCGCTTGTGGATACCAAGGTAAGATAGGTACAATGAGGGCGGGGCATAGAAAAAAATAATACGCACACACGCACACACACTCTTCATTGGTCAGCCAGCGTGATCTATGCTATTAGAAAAGACACACACAACACACACAATATATCGCCCCGTTTGAAGAAGACATTTCACCCTCTGAATGAAAGAAAACCGAACTCCGAAAGAAAAACGGTACTAGCAGAGTAGTCTAGACACGCTAAGCAAGACAGAAAGCAAACGCAAACGTCGCAACATCCCCTTCGCCGTTCATAGAACACGGTTCACGGACCCAGTAGCCTCTCACAGCACGGTCCAAACAGCAACAGATGAACCAAAACCACCGCCACCACCAACGCCCAAGAACGTTTGTCTTGTCACCTTCGCGTCTACTGCGATCTCCACCGCCTTTGTGGGGTCTGCCGCCTTGTCGATGTACACGTGGCAGATGCCCTCGCTGTGCCCCATGACGGGAATCTTCGTGCTAGCCTGCGGCAAGACAAACGGGGAAGGGGGGCAGGGGATGGGACTAGAGACGGAGGGAGGGGTGGGGGGAGGCGTGGTGAACGGGAGGCAGTGCCCTCTTGCGCATGTGTGACGGGAAGGGGATCGGGTGCTCGAGGGCCGGCTTGACACGAGCAAACGACGGTAGCATGCTCCACCAACAGCGTAAAAACTTATCCTCGAGCGGTGGTAACAGCGGTGAAGAACACGCCAATAACACCCGCCAAAACGGATAGCAGTGTCAGCGACGACGACGATGGCAACATCAGCCCTAGCCAAAAGAATCGGCGCGTGCAGCATACAACAGCAACAGCAACACCGAAAAATCCAGCCCCGAGGCTCAACAGCAGTGACCAGATCAGCAACACGAACAAGCAACAACAAGGACACTTGCATGTACCAAAATGTGTCACAAGAACAACAACGCTTGAACCAAAAGGTGCACCAACACAACAACGCTTGAACCAAAAGGTGCACCAACGCAACAAAAACTGTGCCGAAATATTCAACAGCGACAGCAACGACAGCCACCGGCACGATCCCAGCAGCGGTCCACAGGCACATACATACCTTGATGTGGTTCACCAGGGACCCCGATCCCCTCGGTATGACGAGGTCGATCAGGTGGTCGAGCTTGAGCAGCTCTCCCACCGCTGCCCTAGACGTGACGAGACCGATGCAGTCCCTAGGCACCCTGCCCTTCGACCCCTCGGCAACCGCGTCCACGATGATCCTGCCGCAAAAAACAAACAAGCATCATACAGATGCCAAGGCGGAGACAAGGCGAACAAACACGAACGTTTTAACCGAACGAGCGATGATCCTGAAAAAAAGACGCCTAGAAAAAGCACACACATATACAATAGTCAAGGTGGTATACTCTCCCACGAAGAAAAAAAAAACGCACTTTGAAAGCGACAGGGCGAGGATGTCCAAGAAAGGGTATGATTGGGCGAGTATTCACAGTGCCGGGCACAAGACTATCTCAGGGTCGGTATTCAACCGACCCTGGGAAATGTGAATCACACCCCCTCCCCACCAACAAGATGAGCACTTTTCTGCAGCCTCCAGAAGATGCCCTCCCATCCCTCCGACCCCGCCAGACGAAGGCCGATCTACATGCCTGACCACCCCCTGTCACCCCAACAACAAGAAAAATATTTCTTTGAAATCCTCCTCCCAAGACCCTCCCTCCCCCCGGACAAGGTCCCACCTATGCAAGCATGCATTCGAGTGCTCGGCCTCCTTGCCCCCCTTGAGCAGCAGGCCGTTGCCCGACCGTATCGCGAGGGAGGCGATCTGGGGGAGGGAGTCGGGCCTTGACTCGAACACGATCAGCAGCACTCCGATCGGGGATGTAATCTACCAACACGAAACAGCAACAGCGACAGCAGCGAACCAAAGCATGGGCAGGTCGTGTGTGCACATTGCTTCCTCGTTGTCATGTTTTCGGCGGCGACCATTCAACAACGACAACAGTAGCAGCAGCAGCGGCAGCAGAAGCAGAAAAACCAAGCATGCGAGACGTCGTGTGTGCAATGTTCTGGTTCTGCGCTGAATTTTCACGCCACCCGAGAAGAGAAATCCTGCTCTATCTTGGTCTGCAGATGCGTAGGGGTCTCTCTCTCTCTCTCTCTCTGTCTCTCTCTCTCTCTCTGTCTGTATATGTTTCTCTCCCCCCCCCTCCTCTCGCTCTCGCTCTGCGTCTTCAGTTGGATTTCGTACCATACCGTACTGTACCGTAGTGTACCTGCTTGAGGACAAGGCCCTCCTGAACCTCCAGGCGGCTGTTGCACTTCGACAGGGGTTCCTCTCCGTCCGCTAAGGACGTTATGCCCTCCGCCAGCACCTTGATCTTGTCCTGCCGTGCACGTGAAAAACAAAAATACAGCAGCAGCGCCGATGACGGATGATGACGAATGTGTGAGATTGGCAGTGATCATATGTCCGAACGCTGCATCTGTTGTCATTCTCCGTGAAGCCGACAAAAGCAATGAGTTGCATCGCCAAGCTGTTCCGAGCAAGCTGGTGAGCATTCTTCGAACACTATTCCTCTTCCTTAATCAGTCTCTCGCGGTATGCCCCCGGTTCACTGCTCAGAAACGTCTTTCACCATGGTAAGCATACGGAATACGGACGGCATCCCTCCTCTCCACACACAGTCAGGGCAATGCTGCGCTTGTCCTGCCGCGCATGGGCCAACATGGCGAAGGGCGAGGACTTCAATACCAACCATGGACACGTACTACATATACACTATGCATCATCAACAACAACACCAATCTCCGAACCAAGACACCGGGCCCATATCAAAAAATGTGACCACCAAAGGAAAGTGTGGTCGCACAAAACACAGCACACCGTTGCAGGAGGCACACAAACAAAAACTCCAAGCAACCAACCGATGGCCCAACAGGCGCATCAACCCGAAGCAAGCCGAAAAAACAGAGAGATGCGGTTGAACATTTCCGAAAGGCTTCACTCTTTGCCCGTTCATATTTCGTATCACCCGCGACAAAAAAAATAACAGCGTGTTCTGCGTTCCAAAAAATTCCTTGAGGAGAGACAACGCGATGATGGCAACGATGGGGTCGTATCGGAAGTGATATCGATCGTGGAAAAAATCAAGAACAGCCAATCCACAGTACCAAAGTACCACACGTCATGATATGATTGATACCTCAGTCAGCCTGAGGCGGAAAAAATCAGCCGAGTACCACACCAGTCGTTATATGGCAGATACCTCGGTCAGCTTCAAGCGGTTGAGGAGGGCGGGGGCGATGTTGTTGGCCTTAGCGGCCTTGATGTCCCTCTCGTTGGCCACAGTGATCTCCGGAGATTTGGCGAGCAGGGCCTCGGCCACTTTCCGAAGGATGCCAGCTCTCTCCTCACTTTTTTCAGCATCACCAGAAGGACAAAAAAAAAAAAACATGGGAGAAAAAAGTCAGAAAAAAATACACAGAGAAAAAGCCCGGGTGTTCACTCCAGCGGGCAAGTGGGGAATGCGGAACCAGTCTTTCTGGACAATCGTCGGCTATCTTCGAAAGAAGACAATAAACGAGACGGGAATGCACGCACATCAAGAGAGGCGAAAAACAGCGGCCCCGTGCTGGGCCCCCTCGAAGCGAGCATATCCCCATGCCTTCGGTGACACAAACAACAAACAGTACTACACATCCCCTGGACCGATCCTCAAAGCTCATTTTCTCTCAAAGAAAAGGGCGGATGTACAAAACGAACGACGCGTTTTCGGAAAGCTCTCGACGACAAGGTTCCAACGCCGCCATTTTCGGCACCGCCGCCGTGGAGTAGTCGAGCTTTGAAAATCGGTCCGGGGCGTCTGGTATCTTGTGTCACCCATCATACGGTATTCCACCCTCCTTTGCGCGCACGGCAGACCCCCTCGCCCAACCAACCAACCGCTACCCACCGCTCGAAATTATTCTTGGTTGCCATGCTGCCAGCACTGCTGCGGTATCTGCTGTTGCCTCCAACCTAGGCTGTTGATGTTTGGCAGTTGTTGTTGTTGTTGTCTTCAAATAAAAAAACCGTTCCGATCTCTCTCTACCCAGTACCTTCGTATGTCCGTACTGATACAACACTCGACGCAGTCGATTCCCGTGGTCGCAGGCTAGCTTACCATAAAAAGGTACACTCAAAAAAACTGGCCCCGAGGGGTCCGCAAGTCAAAAGAAATCAACGACCGATATTCTGGAGTCCTCCACTCCCTCTGCGCGCTATGCGAGGTTTAACAACTGAGACTAGGAGTCAACATCACGGGCCGGAGAGGTGTACCTCTTGGTTCAATCTTGGTACTTCACAACACAAGCAGAGACAAGGCCATCTGGCACAGAGAAATAGAGAAAACAGAGAAAAAGAGGAGAAAATAAATGGAAACAGTAAGGAAAGAGAAAATGAAATAAAAAGAGCGAGGACAAAAAGGGACCAGGCCGAAAGCAACAAAAAATGAGAGACAGAAAAAGGAACACGGTGGAGAGACCACTAACGAACAAGCAAACACGCAAACATTGCCACCAACCAGCGATAAATTGTAATGGTACGTCATCACTAGTGGGGGGTTGGTGCAATGGTGCAGCGTTGGGGGGGTGTGTGTGTGTGCTCATAGTCGTGCATGCCGTAGTCGTTAGACCATTGACCTCGCATCCCTACAAAGCCGGGACGGAGCACGCCGGGTTCTCACCGGACCAGGCTCTCACATCACCAAGCGCGAAGCGCCGTGAGATATTCGGCGAGTCGCATGAAGGGTGCGCTGCATC